CAAAATAAACAAGGTAACTCACGCTGCGTGATTAGCCTATCTTTTATTGTCACCCTTATCTTTGATTGTTTTAACGTGAAAATGTCGCCTCCCTATGCAGGCATATGTTTTATAGTGGAGTGACAATCCTAGAAAAAGATGCCTAGTTTTCGAGTTTAATGGACCGGCATACCCTACGGCTGAAAGTTATATTTTATAAAAGAGACATCCCTCCTCATACATTTTCGCCCGCTCGTAGAGTTTTCTCAAGTCAGATTTTTTTTAAACTTGCGATGAAAGTGAAAAGGGGGGGGGTATTTAAGTCGTTAATTTTACTTGCTGATAATATTCTTTTTCAAAAATTAATTATTAATTAGAAAAATATTAATTTGTGTGTGATAGGATAGCTAAAGGTATCTAAATTTACAATGCAAAATTAATCAGGAATATTATTTGCCCCCCCCCCCCCTTTAAAAACATGTTTTGTTATAGAAACTGCGTTTATTTCAACAAAATATTATAATATTCAATACAATTATTTCATGCAATATCAATATCGAATATTTACCTAAGCGTTAGAAAGATTTATAAGACAATGATTTCTGATCAAATAAACCGCACTTTTTTAAAGACATCCTCACACTATAAGTCTTGTATTCTACTTGATCTAAAATGTTTTGTGTAACTGGGAACGGATTATAGAATCCCATTATGTCTATGACAGTGACTCCATCGATCAAAATGTTGTTAAATATATTAAATTGGCTTCTATTATTAATAAGATAACGCTAATATTCAGTTTGAATTTAAATTAATGAGCAATTGAAAATAATTTTCCTTTTTTTCAATTTAAAAAAATACGTAAATGACAAACATGTCACTTTTCCTTCGCATTCTTGTTTGAACAAGGTATCTTGCATGATTGGATATTGCCTTTCTAGTTCATAAGCAATACATATAAACGCAAGTATGAAACGGAGAGAGAAAAACGATTTTAGTTTTTCATCTTAAAGACTGTCCATCATCTTACAGAAACTATTTCATGTTTCCTTCGGAAATATATTTAGTGTTTTCTATAGCAAAAACATGGACTTTGTCACTATTCAAACTAAGGGATACATATCTTGTTTACGCATTTCCTCATTTACTTGTACATACCGCCAAAAATTGAACTCTGTTACTATAATCCTTTAGGGGGGATCATATTTTGCTTACAGTACTTAAGTTTTCTTTTGAAAAGACGTACCAGAAAGGAAGATATGAAGCAAACGGAACAGTGAAAGCAATCCACTAAAGTTTTTGCTCGGAAAATTCATGGTTTGTTCTGTCATAAGAAGGCTTTTTCGATATATTTCCTTTTGAGAAAGAATTGTCGTTTTGCTTCAAGAACTAATTGTCTAATGTTAATTTTAAAAATTGCAATGGAGACAGAAGACATAGAACTATATACGGTATCTTTAACCAACCACAGAAACAACATGGGGTTTTCAACATTCTTTTTAGGACTTCTGATGAAATGACAAAGACTATTGAGTATTTAGGCAATCAGCCTTTTTTCAAAATTCAAAGATATTTCCAGTCAGCAGATGAAAAAAGCTACGCACGACATGCATTTAATGTGAATATTGCCACGTGATCAACATTTTTGCACTGTTCTAATTATTATCTACCCACCTGAAATATCTGTTTAAGGATCGACTATCGTTACTTTTACAGTGTAGCTCTTTTACAAAGTTTTTACTTTTATAGTTTTCAATTGAAATATATTCTTGAAAAATTAATAATAAAGATATACATGAACGTGTACATGAAAACCAATGAATAGAAATTACAGCTCTAGCAAATGTATTACGTCATTAATTTATCTCTTCACCCCTTTTCAAAGAATTGCAACTTTAACACCAATACGTGTTCTAAATCTTTCAAAACCCCAAAATCTCGACAATATAACTTATAACCTGCTTAATTTATGAGTAAACGCTTATTCAAAAGTTCACCAAATTAAACTTTTCAAATCATATAGACAACATTCATTGATAAAAAAAAATTGACCTTTTTAGACAGAGAAATGAATAATATCCACAATATTAAAACTTTAAATATTCCGTTGTCTGTCCTTTGGATGAGACCGGAGTACCGAAATTCAGGGTGAGAGCAAGGGTGAACTCTAGAAGAATTTTTACTAAAAAGCTTTTTAAAAATCGTCGAACAATTTCTTTAAAAAATAATGAATCAGATGAAAAAAGCTTAATAAGAATATTACATTCAAAAAAAGTGCACAATTTATGGTCATATTTCGGTTTTTTAGGGGTTGGTGTTTTTTTTTTTTTGGGGGGGGGGGGGGGGGGGTTAGGGGTGATGGGTGTTGTTGTTCTTGCTTAAATTTTTCTTTACTTTGTGTACTAAATATTACGTGATTGTACGTAAAGAATAACGTACATTAGCATTAAACCTTTTATATTTAAATAAAATACTATAAGACAAACCTTTCATTTTACAGACAGACAAACGGGCATTCTTATTCATTTTTTTCGTTCCTTTTCCATGAAATCAATATATTCACCGAATTAATAAAATTCCTATACAAATATACATTATTTTCACGAATTCCTTACACTTTTCTTTATATGTACAATATTATGGTCAGATTTCATTCATTGATCTTTGATCTCCTTTTATTTTAAATTTTGACCATAGAATTTTCTACGACCGGGCAAAAATTATTGCTTGATAATATATCTGACCAAAAAAGTACAAATCAGCCGTAGGGTAGAGTGGTATATTAAATTCAAATTTTTGATGGTATTGTCACTCCACTATTAGATATCGTAATATGATAGCTGGTATATGGTCGGGTCTTATCGAACGAACTGGTACTCTATATTTACCATGATTACATGCCTGGGAGAAATTATTTGAGGAATTATCATGTCGAGTTTGTGTATACATTTATATATCCTTTCTCATTTATTGTTAATACATGCATGTTGAAGGATGGGCCAAAACTGTAAAATCTGGACAGAAATTAAGATGCAAGCGTGAGAACTACATTGTGTTTTGTATAGATGTGTCCCTGCTACGGAGGCACCTAACAGAAAGTGGATATAATTAAGATTGCATTGTGGATTTGCCCTGTGCCACCTCTAAATGGCAGAAGAAAACTCAACTCAGCACAACCAGAAACACTTTTCTGAAGGTGAGTACATCAATTTATTATATTTCTAGATAAGTGGAAAATTTTTTCATAACTTATGATACATATTTTTTATAGCATAACAAATCTTCTTGTTATGATGGCAAAACTGAACCGAATACTATTTTTGAAAGTATATTTTGACTTTTCTTATTTTTGTTGACTCATTTTCTTTTCATTTTTTTTAAATACATGCAAATACATGATTACTTATAATAGTAGGCTTTTGAAAAAGAAAACAAATACAAAAAATATTAGAGAAGTCAAATCGGTCAATATTTAACATGTTTAATAATCGCTTACTCGATATCTGACTTTTTCATTACATGCATGTACAAAATTATCAATTCCATTGGAAATAATTTTTGGTACTAAAATTAGTTATCAAATAAAACACAAATGCAAAATACACCCAAAATTACAAAAGGTTGTTTTAATTGGATCTATTTGAAAAACTGCTGTGTACACGTGTATGTTATATAACTAGCGAAGGAGAGGGGACGGATGTTGTTGGTCAGGATCGCTAGTCTTATATTATTTCATTTGTAAATTGGTTGTTTCCAGTATATTTACACTAAACTTACTACACAAGTTCACTTTCAGCAGTTTTGAATCTTTTGTTATTTCTATATACCCACTTCACTCTTGAAGTGGGTAAAGTGGCATTAATTTCTATGCAAGTCAGATTTCACAGAATGTATGAATGTACATCAAGGCGATAATGGGTGTTTTACAGCTAGGTGTAGATGAAGACATGCTAATTACCACTTGCATGTTTTAGTTATAATTGATAACTTTCTGATAAAAATGTGTACCTTGAAATAAGAAATAATATACATCCGCGTAAACGAGTACCTTTTTTTAGTATTCGATACTTGGACCTTGGATCGAGTACCCGGTAAAGTTGACTTCCCTAGAAAATATATTAAAATACCCGGTATATCATAAAAGGTTATTTGAAGTCCTTGATTTCATTTATTGAAAGTCAGATACATAATGTGAAATAATTTTTGTTAAATAAACATTGTGAGATATCTTAATTTTTTTTTCAATTATACACTTTGTAGAAAATTCTGCCAAGAGACAGTTGTGAAGGGAATCGTGTAGATAATCTCCAGAAAAGAAATCACCACTGATATTAGGATGTATGTAACAATATTTTAATACAATCATCAAAGACAAATTTACCACAGGAATAAAAACAAAACTGTCTGGCATTCAAGGGCCTGCCATGGTAGAAGCTCTCCTGAAAAAATATTCCATTTATTGTGGACATCATGACACAGGGCTCACCTGTCATCAGCATTAGAGACTTGTGTGATTTGTTCTACCTGGGCCATACACCCTTACCAAAATATTGACCTTCTGGCAACATCTTCTGGCTTTATTGCCGCAATATTGCAGCAACATTCTGGCAATACATTGCCGCAATATTGCGGCTATATCGTTTTTCGTATGTAAATTAGTTTTGCGGCAATATTGCCAGAAAGGGGTTGCGGCAATATTGCTGCAAATCATGACCAAAATATAGATCTTCTGGCAACATCTTCCGGCATTATTGCCGCAATATTGCGGCTATATCGTTTTTCATATGTTAATTAGTTTTGCGGCAATATTGCCAGAAAGGTGTTGCGGCAATATTGCTGCAAATCATGACCAAAATATTGATCTTCTGGCAACATCTTCCGGCATTATTGACGCAATATTGCGGCAATATCGTTTTTCTAATGTAAGTTAGATATAAATTGGTATTTAATAGAAATATAATGATCTATCAATCTAACAATTAACAAACTGTGCTGAGGAATATAACAAACAATAGCAAGCCACAGGGTCAATAAGAAATAGCTACAAGTGTACTTCTGCTATTCTTTGAACAGATATAAAATTATGTTGATTTTTTTTTTTTGATTTATGTTTGTGAAACACTGTGCGCCTGGTGGCAATAAAGTTTGAAAAAGCTATTTATAGCATATGGGTCACAGTCAAGGTCACAAAGTCATTGATCTTAGTGTCATTTGAAAGAACTTAATTAGTAGAGAATGCATACTAAATATGAAGTCTCTATCTCTTATAGTTCAAAATTTATGGCAGAGGATCAAAATGGCTATTTTTAGCATATGGGTCACAGTAAAGGTCAAATTGTCATTGACCTTGGTGTTACTTGAAAGAGTTTAATTAGTGAAGGGTGCATACCAAATATGAATTCTCCATATTTTATGACTCAAAAGTTATGTCGAAGTTTCAAAAAATCTATTTTAAGTATATGGTCAAGGTGCCAAGGTCATTGACCTTGGTGTTATTTGAAAGAGTTTAATTAATGAAGGGTGCATACATAATACAAGTTCTCTATCTTTTATGGCTCAAGATTTATGTCCAAGATTCAAAAAATCTATTTTAAGCATATGGGTGACAGCCAAGGTCTCAAGGTCATTGACCTTCAGGTGTCTTTTGAAAAAGCTTAATTAGTGAATTATGCATACTAAATATAAAGTGGACTCTATCTTTCATTTATTTTAAGTTATGATGAATATTTGAAAAAGCTATATTTAGCATATAGGTCACAGTCAAGGTCACATGGTCATTGACCTTGATGTCATTTGAAAGAACTTAATTAGTGGAGTAGACATACCAAATATGAAATCTTTATCTCTCATTGGTTCAAAAGTAATGGTGAAGGTTAAGTTTACAAACAAACGGACAGGACAAAAACAATATGTACCCCCGATCTATCGAGATGGGCGCATGAAAAATGTTTATAGAAACAATATTAATATGCCACTGTGAAAATGTCCAGCAACTCGATCTGCATTAATTTTCAAATAACATGCTTTAATTCATCTTTTCCTGCTACTCTAGGATATATAGACATACAAGTCTAGTATGCATGCATCACAAGCACTAATTGAAACACATATAATTTTTCCACTTTTATCTCCATTGAATCATTCATCTCAAAAAGAATATTGGTTTTGACTCACCAAGTCTGATGATATGGAAACAGAGTACACATTCCTATAATTCTGCTTAAATTCTTCTTTCTAGTCATTCCACACTATGCAGTCTTACTACTCATCTTGACTAATCCCACTGTACACAATTAACAACTCTAATCAACTTGATACAAGTCAGTAATGAAGCAAAACATGCTTGCCTTTGAATTCCCTCCACTTAAATTAAAAAGAGGAAGTAAATGACTGAGCATGCTCAACAAATGTCTCATGGGTAATCCTAGATGTTGCCAGAAAGTTTTTTTCTGGCAGTATTGCCAGAATGTCACCGGAAGTTGTTGCAACTAGCGGTGATATTTCATTTTTTCTGGCAGTATTGCCAGAATGTCACCAGAAGTTGTTGCCGCTAGCGGTGATATTTCACTAACCCAACAAGAGGCCCAGGGGCCATAGCGCTCACCTGAGCACATCAGTCTTGAATTTACTCCCCCCCCTCCAGGCGTTATAATTTGAACAAACTAGAATCTACACTACCTGAGGATGATTCCATATAAATATCACTAATCATAGCTTTGAAGTACTTGAAAAGAAGATTTTAAAAGGTTTCCCTATATATCCCTATGTAAAACTTGGGTCGGCCATTTTGGCCCCACCCTAGCCCCGGGGGTCATGATTTGAACAAACTTGAATCTACACTACCTGAGGATGATTCCACATGAGTTTCATCTTTCCTGGCCCAGTGGTTCTGGAGAAGAAGATTTTTAAAGATTTTTCATATATATTCCCATGTAAAACTTTGGTCGGCCATTTTGGCCCCACCCTAGCCCCGGGGGTCATGATTTGAACAAACTTGAATCTACACTACCTGAGGATGATTCCACATGAGTTTCATCTTTCCTGGCCCAGTGGTTCTGGAGAAGAAGATTTTTAAAGATTTTTCCTATATATTCCTATGTAAAACTTGGGTCGGCCATTTTGGCCCCACCCTTGCCCCGGGGGTCATGATTTGAACAAACTTGAATCTACACTACCTGAGGATGCTTCCACATGAGTTTCATCTTTCCTGGCCCAGCGGTTCTGGAGAAGATTTTTTTTAAATGCCATTAATTTTTAACAAATTCATGATTATCTCCCCTTGGAAAAGGGCGTGGCCCTTCATTTGAACAAACTTGAATCCCCTTCACCCAAGGATACTTTGTGCCAAGTTTGGTTGAAATTGGCCCAGTGGTTCTTGAGAAGAAGATGAAAATGTGAAAAGTTTACGACAACGACGACAACGACTACGACAACGACAGACAACGGACAAATTTTGATCAGAAAAGCTCACTTGAGCCTTCGGCTCAGGTGAGCTAAAAAGCTTGTTTCTGGTGACAAAATTGTGTTGCCGCAATGTTGCCGCAATATAGCAGCAATATTGCTGCAATAATTTTACTTTGGTAAGGGGATGTATTGAATGAAAACAATTTATAGAACCACAAGCACATTCATTTGTAAATCTATGTAAGGTCTGTGTATGTTGTATTCCTTATATAATTTGCTATTTTATAACAAGAATTTGTTTCATTGGTACTAAAACTTAATACATGTACACATAAAAATCCCAAAGCAGTTGTGATATTTATTGTTTTTTATTACTCAATAGTTCTCATTTTTGTGTGAAATTTTATAATTTTCCATTTCTTGTTCCCCAAAACCATATCTTACAAATTTTATGCAATGCAACTTGCATTTCAATTTTAACTTGTTATACTTGACAAAAACTAGAGGTACTGTGAGCAATGAACTCACTAAATGATACCCCCGCCTCCCATATGATTATAATGGAAAAGTCTATGTTTTGCTGTGGCCAGGAAACCCAAAATATGTGTCGGATCAAAAAGTAAAAGAGGAGGTGCACAATGGCAATATGTAATAAAGATTCTGTGAAGATTTCATTAAATTTCACTCAGTGGTATAAGAGGAATTGCGGATAAGAGATGAGTACCCCAAAGCGGAACAGACGGACGAACGGACAGCTAGACGTACGTATGTACGGACATACCGATTACAGTATACCCTCCCACTTTTCAAGCGGGGATATAATAAATGTTAAAATGTTCATATTGCTATTGACGTGACTTATTCTCAGGTATCCGCATCAAAAGCGAGACATATTGTTTATTCTTGTTTCTTGGTTTCAATACTACAATCCAAAGTATTTTTCATCCCCCCCCCCCCTTTAAAAAAGATTATGCTTCAAATATGTGTCATTAAAGTTTTGCACATGAGAACTTGCACACATGCTTCCGCCTATCAGTACTCTCAGTACTTTGATTATGAACGGTGTTGCCGTGGTTACGTACTAAAAATAGAAATTTCTGTGAAATTGTTTCAAAATGCTACTCCTCCTACAGTTTTGGTCTGATTTCAATATAACTTGGCGCACAAGTAGACTACATTTGGATGCACAATTCTATGAACGATGTTGCCATGGTTACTAAACATAGAACTTTCTGTGAAATACTTTCAAAATACTACGCCTCCTACAGTTTTGTTCTGATTTCAATATAATTTTCCACAGAAGTAGACTACACTAAGAAACATTATTCTATATTATCATTTTTTGATTTTGATGAACAATATTGCCTTGGTTACTAAAGATAGAAATTTCTGTAAAATACTATCAAAATATTATCCTAAATACAGTTTTAGTCTGATTATAATACAATGTGGCATGCAAGTAGACTACGCTAAGAACATAAAGAGACTTCATCAAGGATCATTATTCTTAGACTATTTATTGCTGTTGTAAAGTTTCGATTCCCAACTTCTACTTTTCTCTTTCTTTGCTAAGTAAAATCCAGTAGAGCTTCAGTCTCGACAGAGTTCTTGGTTTTACTTGTAGAAGAATCATCTCTACACTGCATACTAAAGAGTGTTATTCGGGGGGGGGGGGGGGGGGGGTCTGCAAGTGAAGTGACCTGCCCTTGGATCTGAATTGATTTCAAGCTACATTGTAACACCTATTATAAAATCTGTTGTCAAATCATGCATTGTAAACATTTTAAAAGATGGATATAATTAAATACACATTTTGCTAGAGTGTACTTTCTCCTCTGAAGTAAACAGTAGTAACGTGTGTTCATTATTTTTTTTCTTAAAAGGGGGGGGGGGGGTAGTGACACGTACTATCTTATATTGAGAATGAAATAAGTAAATTCAATATCTAGGCCTTTGTGAAAAGAAAAATCCAAGATTTTTCACTGCTTTATTATTTATTGTGTACATCTGAACAGAGCCATATAATAGATCAGGCATCTGCATGCAGACGCTGATTAGAACTGCGTTGTTTATTTTTACTGGACCAGTCCATTTATGCAATAAACCAATCGCGGGATCGAGAAACAAATTAGAAAAAAATCATTTCTTTAGTGTTGCATGTCAAGAAAACTGATGTGTACATACGATATGTTGTTTTAAAGAAAGATGTAAAACCTGTAGATAGAATTTCTGAAGCATAAGAAGGAGTTTTCATGGAAGTTAGCACACCCATTCATATAATAGAACAATCCAAGGAAAAGGCGCGGATAGCTTACTAGTGACATTTGGCGCGAAAAGAGCAATTCACCCCTTTCAAAGAATATAAATGGACTGATCCAGTAGTATAGAAAGGCAGAAAAAAGGATCGAGGAAATGTTGAAACGGCGAATTACATGGAATAATCTGTTCCATGCAAAATGAGTAAAGGAAGTAAACACTGCAGTATTTTGCATCAGTAATATCATTTCTTTTTTCTGAAAAATGTTTCTTTTAAAATGCAGATTAAAAAATTCCATTGTTAATCAGCTTGCACAAAATCTAGCTCTCTAGATAGGATCGCACACTTTCGGATCTTGGAAATATCAATTATTATACAGCCTGACGCCGTGACGTCAGGCAATTAAACAAGAATACACATGGGTTACCCCATATCCAAAGATATTCGACTTTTAGATTTAACAGTGTTTAATGATTTTTTTAAAGAAAAAACTGCACTGTCTGGTTATGGAATTGGTGTAAATTTCGTGAGTCCGTAGCATTACGGTCGCCCAGTCTCCTAACAAACAGTACTCATACATGTGTCCGCAAGATCAGTTTGCCTTGGTCTATACACACGTGCGATGGAGAACTTTGTCAAACGCATCAAGCGAGCTCGGAGAAACACGTTTTTGGTTTGCCGAGAAGTTACCATGGCAGACAAAACCTTTTTTCTTAATTAGATCATATGAATACGAATTCTGATTAATAAAAATTAAACAATCCCGGTTCTCAGTTTAGAAATCTCCAACCCGGTTCGGGTTTTCCTACACATTTTATAATTACGCTCCCTACAGTTTACACAGTCTACACACGAGCAGAATCCGACCAGGGATTGAAAATTTCGGCATTTAATCATGTTTAATAAAACACATGTACATAGAATGATTATCTTTTTCTGCAAGAGGAAATTGTATGATAATTGACGGACAATAAACATGAACTTAATACAATTGTTGATATACTATAATGATTACCAATTCATCGGTGAAAAGATTAATTATCAATGGAAGAATTAATGACCTAGATATTCTTTGTTATCAAACATGTTTTAAAAAAACATAGGCTCGGTAGCGGGCGTTGATAAAAGATAAACAAGATCGATAGGGGGCGCTGATAAAAAGACCATGGAAATTTTCGATGCCTACCGAAGAAGCGCTTTGCGCATGCGCTTAGCGCTTAAAAAGTAGAAATTGGTTTATTGAAAAGAAGTCCAATGACCAATCATGGATTTGCTATTCTTGAGAAGATGATTTTTAAAGAATTTTCCCATATATTTCTATGTAAAACTTGGTCGGCCATTGTGGCCCCGCCCTACACCCGGGGGTCATGACTTGAACAAACATGAATGTACACTACCTGAGGATGCCTCTATATAAATATGATGAATTATGGCTTTGTCATTCTTGAGAGGAAGATTTTTAAAGAATTTTCCTATATATTTCTAAGTAAAATTTTAGTCAGCCATTTTGGCCCCGTCCTACCCTTGGGGGTTATAATTTGAACAAAATTGAATCTACACTACTTGAGGATGCTTCCATATGAATATGACCAATCATGGCTTTGCTATTCTTGAGAATAAGATTTTTAAAGAATTGCCTATATATTTCTATATAAGACTTTGGTCGGCCATTGTGGCCCCGCCCTACCCCCGGGGGTCATGATTTGAACAAACTTGAATCTACATTACCTGAGGATGATTCCACATGATTTTCATTTTTCCTGGCTCAGTGGTTCTTAAGAAGAAGATTTTTAAAAATACCATTAATTTTTCACTAATTCATAATTATCTCCCCTTGGAAGAAGGCGTGGCCCTTCATTTGAACAAACTTAAATCCCCTTAACATAAGGATACTTTGTGGCAAGCTCACTTGAGCTTTCAGCTCAGGTGAGCTAATAAAAGAAGAGGCCCTTGGGCCACATTTCTCACTTGAGCACTGTGGCCAGGAAAAAATAAAAATCAATCCAGGTTTGGAAAGCTTAAAATGCATGTGGTCCCGACCTATCACTAAAAAAGCGGAAGTGGGGAGGGGGTTGATTTGAATTAACTTAAATGTACACTAATTAAGGATGCTTACATATTTCTTTAACTTACTGTGGAATATTTCCTTAAAAGTCTGAAATTTCATATTGGCCAAGCCCTACATCCGGGGTTCATAATTTGAACAACTTTAAATCTACACTACCTGAGGATGCTTCCATATCAATATGACCAATCATAGCTTTTGTTGTTCTTGAGAAGAAGATTTCTTATAAAAAATTCTGTATACTAGTATTCCTATGTAAAATATATATGTAAAACTTGGATCGTCCATTGTAGACTATAGTTTACAACCGATAAACCTAGTTTATCGACTGTGAACTATGTTTAACTCATTTTTGTGAATTTGGCATGCCATGCCCGGGGGTCATGATTTGAACAAACTTGAATCTACACTACCTGAGGATGCTTCCATATAAACGATGAGCAATCATGACTTTGTTGTTCTTGAGAAGACGATTTTTAAAGATTTTCTCCAGGGGTCATGATTTGAACAAATTTGAATCTACACTACCTAAGGATGATTCCACATTAGTTTCATCTTTCTCGACCCAGTGGTTCTTGAGAAGAAAATTTTCAAACAAGCAATCAAATTTTCACTATTTCTTAATTATCTTCCCTTGAAAGAGGACGGGACCCTTCATTTGAAACCAAAAAAACTTGAATCCCGTTCACCCAAGAAGTTTGTGGCAAGTTTGGTTGAAATTGACCCAGTGGTTTTGGAGAAGTCGAAAATGTTAAAAGTTTACAGACAGACAGCTAGACCGACGGACTACAGACAAAATGTGATCCGAAAAGCTGAGTTGACCATTCAGGTGAGCAAACAAAAAAAAAAACACAAAGAAGACATAACTTAGGTTGTTTGCCATTATTACGTTCATATGATAAATTATATTACCTATAATGTTTTTTTCTAAACTTATATGGGAGGCGGGAGTATCGTTTATTATAAACTCATTGCTCACGGTACCTCTAGAATGTTTTAATAAATTTATAATAATTCACGCAAAGGAACCTTTCTTTAAAACCAAATAAAACGGATCATCAACTTTAAATGAGATACAAGCACATGAATGTGATTGATAAAGAATGCTTTATACACGGGTAAAGAGATTATGTATTATCAAAATTTTACAGAACTTTCCTTGTATGCATGGAATCTCTATATTGAATATTATTCGAATTGGAAAAAAACAAAGTGATTTGCTTTGGTAACAGTTGTATTGGCAAAAAAAAACAAAACATTTTAAACAATTATTTTGATAAAGTCCTAGCGAGACAATGCCCGTCAACAGTATTTGACCTCCAAATACATACATGTATTTATCTTAATTACTGTTGATTACCAAGTAAGATAGCCATCACATCCGTGAAACTGTAATCCCTTGTAATATCTAATGCAGACTTGTCCTTTTTACATAACGCGGTACTGTTACATCCTGATTTTAACATAATTTCAATAACTTTAATGTGATCGACTCCTGACGCATAGTTCGGCTTTGGAACACATTTGATGTTACACGAATACTGCAGCATAAACATGTAACCTTTCATTAGCAGTTCTCTTTCGAACATATAAGCTAGTTCAATGTTTTTCATAAGATAAAGATTACCCCTACTTGCTGCCAGATGAAGTCCTGTATACCCAAAAGTATCAGTCGTGTTAACATCAACTCCTAAGTGGAGAAGAATATTCGTGAAATGACAGTTACCACTGGCCGAGGAATAATGAATTGGGTACCGGCCATTGCAATCCGGGAAGTTAAACTCAGAGCCATGTTGAATTAGCAATTCGGCAATATCGAAATGTCCAGCAATGCAGGCCTCGTGTATTGGCAAGTTACCATGCGTGTCAAATGCGTTAACGTCGCCTCCGAATTCCAGAAGATGTTGGACTATTTCCGGACAATATTGGCGGCATGCCAAATGCAGAGGTAACAGTCCTTCTTTTGTTTCTTTGTTGGGGTCTGCGCCGTTTTCCAATAGGAAATTTGTCAAGGAGATACTTTGTCTTAATATGGCAATTTCAAGTAATGAAAATTCATCAAATGGTATATCAACGATTTTTTGAGTCAGTCTCTGACTTAATTGTTCAAGGTCTCCCGTACGCGCAGCCACGTGGATGTCCGTAAGTAACGACGAACCTACAGCAGCAAACTTGGTGTCATAGTATATAAAGCGTTGTAAACGTGGGGCCGTTGGTAGTGAAATGCTGCAATTTTTAAAGTTCAAATTCCGTAATACTGTATGCCTACACAAATTTTGAAGTTTTGGTACCTTTCTTGATAATAAATGTGGTTCCTTTGTTGCAGGAGCAATGTCATCTCGGCTACAATTTAGAATGTACAAGTCTTCTAAAGACTTTTTCAAAGCCCAGATGTAGTTGTTGACCTCATTTTTTATCTTTTTCTTTATCCTGCAAGTCCTTTTCCATCTTCCTATAGAATTCTAAAGGAAAGCTTTCAAAGTATCTATAAAAATTTAGGAGAATAATGAAAGCGACCTCTAAATGATTTTTAGATAGCGCAACGTCGTAGGCAGATTGGACTGTTTCTTCTTTAAGGGAGTAAGATTTTGCTCCGTGGTGAAGAAGTACAGACGCTGCCAAGGTGTTTCCGTTTTGTAGAGCAATGTGAAGCGCAGTATATCCCCTTTCATCTGAAACATTGATGTCAGCGCCATATTCTAACAATAAACTTAGTATTTTTAAGGACCTTGAATATTCCTCTTCGCTATTGGCATCATATGAGATCAGAGATTTTCCTGCACATATTATCAAAGGAGTCCGAGATGTTCCATTTTCGAAAGCATTGACATTTGCATTACATTTCAACAGAGCTTTGGTTATATTCACAAGGGAGTTTTGAACAGCGATATGCAGTGGAGTTCTATTTTTCTCGTCCACATCATTGACATCAGCTCCTAAACTCACCAGTTCGTAAACTGTTGTCTCATCGTCGTGGTAACCATGAGCACAACCATGTAACAATAGCTTTGATTGGTTTATATCAGCCCCTAGTGTCATCAGCTTCCTTACTAATGATATTTGACCCGTCTTGGATGCGAAATACAATGCAGATCGGCCGAACCTGTCCGTAGTGTTGATATCTAGGTCAGGACTTGTCATCACAGCATCGATTACGTCACTGACCTTGAGATCTACGGCCAAGGTCAAGGCTGTGTGGCCAATCAGGACCCTGTTTACAAGGTCACCATTCTTTGAGATGATGTTCAGAACGGATTTAGTTTCCTTCTTTTTTATGGCATCATGGAGGTCATTTAAATCATCGTACGAGTCGATCATCTGATGTTTTTCTGCTACATGGAAAGAAAAAAATATGATGAATCAAGAGTACATTAACAGAGGTAAAAAATAACAAAACATACAAGTTATATTAATCCAGCATTCTGTATGTTTTCCCTTTTATCATGTTACATAATCTCTGCAAGGAAATTACCCTTACTTGAGTAATTCATATATCCGTAATGCTTAACGCGAGCATAAACGCAAGCAATCGTAAAAGATAATGTGGAACATAAACTATTTTTGTTCTTTTCAGCTTGAAATGGTTTGAATTGTTTGCATTAAGAGCTATTTCAAATGGACATCATTTTAAGATGTACTAGTAGTGAATGAAAAGAAAATAACGAGATATACTCATTTTGCATACTTGTTCAAATACTGCAGGCTGATTTCCTTGGTAATTGGCCTTTGTCCTTTCTCTACCGGTCCAGTATTATTATGTCAATCTTGCTTCATTATCCTTTGTTGTATGCTTGTTGCTAAATGATGCTTACAACTAGTATATATAATCCAGATAATACATATGAACATGGAGGAAATCCTATTGCTGTTCCGGGTTGCTGTACATTTCTTTTCACGTTTCTTTATAGTTTAAATTTTAATGATGTGTTTCAATATGTCTCTGCTTGATTAACGATGTGTTTCAATATATCTCTGCTTAACTTAATGAAAATTTTAACTTAGTTAAGGTTTGTGCATATAAAAAACATTTTTTGCCCAAATATTACTCTCATTCTGCATTGATGGTAAAACACTTCAAACAATTAATGATAATTTCGATAACAATAAACCCATGGAGAGATTTCAACATGGGAGGAAGCCTTCAACATTTCAAGGATACTCCGAAAATGAAAGTGGGCTATAATGAATTTACCCGTCAAACACATACTAGTAAAACAATAGTATTGTTTTCTCCAAAAAAAAAGTAACCCTCAGTGTAGTTGGAATGATCTAACTGTGTCTCGATACAAGCCCCTCGCCACATTGTTAAACCGGGTCCATAGGACAATATCTATGGCAAGCCAAATTCACAAAAATGAGATAAACCTAGTTTCACAATTGATAAACTAGGTTTATCGACTGTAAACTATAGTTTACAAACCGTAAACTATAGTTAATGATTCGTTAAGTATAGTTTTCATCTGTAAAACTATATTTAACGGTCGTTAACTATAGTTTACGAATGCTAATCTAAGTTTATCTGTCTGAATAAAGCGTTAACAATAGATTTTGTTGATAAACATAGATTCACGTTTGTAAACTATAGTTTATTTAATAGTAAACTATAGTTAAGAGTTGTTAATCATAGTTTCACAAATCGTGAAACTATATTTATCAGACCGTTAACTATAGTTAACGGTTTGTAAACAATAGTTTACAAATCGTGAAACTGTATTTATCAGATAATCTATGTTTTGCAATCGCAAATGATTGTTTTCGATGTTAAATATAGTTTACGGTTGTGAAACATAGATTATCGCGTTAACTATGGTTTAGAGATGTAAAATGTAGATTAACGTTGTTAACTATAGTTTACAGTCCGTAAATTATAGTTTACAACCGATAAACCTAGTTTATCGATTGTGAAACTATGATTTGCTCATTTTTGTGAATTTGGCGTGCCATAAATATCATTTTAACGATAGAACGTTCTATCTACCCTCAATGATACTCAAGCCTTGCATTGAAAATGTATCAACAAGTTTTATCAGTATTTTTACTGATGTTTTTATATAGAACATTACCAGTCATATTGAGAAGTAAAATATTTAGGTACCATCTTAGAAAAATAACAAAATACTTTCATGGGGTCAATATAGTTCGAGGAAATTTGATCTCGTGGATGAAGAATGTTGATTTGCAAGTCACATGCATGTATTTGAAAGTTCCCATTACGTAGGGTAGGGAACATGAATTTCTGGGTTTCAAACCTCGATAACAACAGTGATTAAACAAATAAGACAGAGAAACTCAGGCAGTAGGGGGTAGTAATTTCCATTGAAAGGGCAATTGCTCTTTTTTGTTTTTACCCCCCCCCCTCCCCTCAATTTTTTTTTTTTTTTGATATTTTGAAGAAGAGGCCTAGGGGCCACATCACTCACCTGAACACTGGCTAGGAAATAACCCACTTTGATCGACCATTGTGGCCCCACCCTACCCCTAGGGGACATGCTTTGAACAATCTTGAATACACACCTGTGACCACCTGAGGATGCTTCGGAAAAAAAAAAAACAATAAGCTTTGCTGTTCTTGAGAAGAACATTTCTCCTATATATTTCTATGTAAAACTTGATCGACAATTGTGGTCCCACCCTACCCCATTCCATGTAAATATCACTAATATAAAATGGCTTTTCTGCACTTGAGAAGAAAGTTTTTGAAAAATGTCCTTATACATTCCTATGTAAAACTTTGATCGTCCATTGTGGCCCCAACCTACCCGCAGGGTCATGTTTTGAACAAACTTCAATGTACAACACTTTCGGATGCTTTCGTATAAATATGACCAATCATGGCTTTGCTGTTCTTGAGAAGAAGTCTTTTAAAGATTTTCCTTCTACATTCCTATGTAAAATTTAGACCATCCATTGTGGCAACACCCTACCCCCGTGGGTCATGATTTGAACAAAGATGGGCGAACAAGGCGGGCAAAATGCCTATAGCGTCAGATATTAAGAAATCATACGAAATATGTGAATTAATTTATTAAATTAACTTCTAATCATTGAAATTTTTGAAATTATGTCAGAAAAAAAACTGATGAGAGAGAAAAATCTCGTAAAAATTTTCTTTCATAAAATAATTAGATAGTATTCGTGGGATTCGAACCCTAAGCAATAAAAATCCGACATATCAATAACATACTGCTTTGAGACTAACGCGTTAACCACTATGCTACACCGTTCATGGTGATTTTGGTCATTTAAATCATGTTTGTGATATGACCCGCAACTTAATGAACTTGAAGTATTTCTCGGAAAGAAGCTAATGTTGTGTCATAAAAGTGTACTTTTAAGGTATAGTGGGTCTTCCCTCCATGTTTTTGAAAACCAAAAAATGTGTATTTTATTGCACACTTTTAATATCATCTTTCAAAAAAAATGGAGAAAAGACCCACCCATATTGAAAAATTTTGTTTAAGTATGAGAAAATGATCGTTTTTGTTCATTTTAGTGTGTGTAAGCTTTTTCATAGGCAAATATTTTCATTTTTTGAGAGATTTTTGTAAATTGTAGAGATTTTACATAAAGTATACTTGAATATTAGATGAAATATCAAGTAAAATTTGGATTCAATTGATATTAAAATTTTCACTTCTTATCTGTTGCACTATAGGCATTTTGCCCGCCTTATTCACCCATCTTCTTTGAATCTACACTACCTGAGGATGCTTCCAAATGAGTTTCATCTTTCCTGGCCTAGTGGTTCTGGAGAAGAAGATTTTTTAAAAATGCCATTAATTTTTCACAAATTCATAATTATCTCCCGTTGAAAGAGGGTATGTCCCTTCATTTGAACAAATTTGAATCCCCTTCACCCAAAGATACTTTGTGGCAAGTTTGGTTGAAAATGGCCTAGTGGTTCTTGACTAGAGGATGAAAATGTGAAAAGTTTACGAAGACAATGACGACAAGAATGAAGACAGACAACGGACAAATTTTGATCATAAAGATCACTTGAGCTTTCGACTCAGGTGAGCTAATAATTAAAATGTTAGAAAAATCAAAACTTTTAGAACATGTTGTGGTAGGATTTCTGTACTTTTTACAGTGTAATCCATGTGAAAAATCCTTTCTTTGAGTACCGTTAACTTTTCTGATTATGTTGGCCTTGGAAAATGGTCTGTCGTCGTAAACTTTAACCTTTGATATGTCATACGAGACATCAGTATTTCAAAAACACATCTTATTTTATTACTTTTAAAAAAATACTTTATACTGTTGGATGCAAGATATGGTATTTTCATCTCAATACATGTGCCAGGTGTTTAACATTTAAAGAAAGAGCTTCAAATACTGATTGAAGGGTACAAATTTCTGAAGTACTTTTTAATTTTTTTTTTAAATTTTCTTCGATGGTAAACTTTAAAAGCTTTACTAATTAAGCAATGGAATTTAAAGTTGTCTTGTGCTTACAATAATTATTGTGAACAAAAGAGTGGAATTAACGCAATGAAAGTAAAATTATCATGATTTATTAGTCACCTTCCACTGAAAACATTTCACCTTTCACTGAAAACCGCATATGGAAAGGTTGTGATTTACAAACCATTAATTCTGGGTTAGCTGTATACTGTATAGGATAATACTTAATAGTCTGGTATAAATGATTTATATTAGGTGTGGAAACGGTGTCCTTTTGGTATGTGCTTCCTAAAAGGTTATATATGTTTTCTAAATTGAATATATTATTTTGTTTCACTGTGTTAAATTTATTAATGTGAAACACATGCTTTGAGGTGCTCTTTGGAGTTTCACTAGACTCCACTGTAGCCTGTCCTGAACTGTCAGTTTTTACACTCAATACAACACTTTTGGGGACTTTTTCTGGGTCTGTTCTTGAAGTTTGTTTTAAAGAATTTGTATTTCCTTCTAAATTTGAATTCACATTTTCACTATTAATTTTTTCACTGATGTTTACATTAATTGGCTGTTCAACAGCTTTCTCATTCAAATACTCTTCTGAAGATGAATCTTTTCTTTCATCAAGTCGCAAATTTTCATATTTTGAAGCAGGAGGTGGTTCCTGTGTTTTGGTTGGAGCCATCTGTGAAATGGGAGTTGGTGGTTCTGGTTTTATATCATTATTAGGTGAATCGTCTTTCCCTTTATTTTGTTCCGTGTTTGAGACTGGTTCTAATTTCTCTTTTTTCTCAAGCCCTGTTTCTGGTTTTAATATCTCTAATTTCTCCACTATTTTAGTGGATTTCCTAAGGTCCACTATTGCATCTTCCTCATTGCTAATATCTTTTGAATCCTTTGAATTTGAATCCAGTTTGATCATCTGGGATTTGAGTAACTCTAAACTGGCTCCCAATTTTGAAAGGCTAGAATCAACATCAGCACCTTCAGCATTCTTAAGATAACTGGTCAAAATTTCCAATACAGAACTCTCAAACCCTCTCTCTGAAGAGGAATTCTCTGAATTCTGACCCTCTGTTTGAAAAAGCTTGTCACCGTGTAAATCCTGAGTAAAAGATTTCAGCTTTTTTCCTCTGAGTCTTCTATCCTCTTCTTCAATATTAAACAGAGACAGTAAATCCAGACTATCATGCATCCTCTCTAGGACGGCATCATCTTGTTTTTTCTGGCTGCTGCAGCAGTACACTGAGGCTGCATCTATTGGATGTGCTTCTGACGTAAAGAAATATCCACCAGCGTCAACCACACATTCACCGTTAGGGTTGTGTATAACAGTGCCATGACTACCATTGTTGTGGATAAAGTTATCTGGATCAAATAGTAAGTAAAGATACTTTGTTGTTTCTGCCAAAAAGAAGCTTTCCATTCTGTTGTCAAGTTGATGGGTGTTAACATTTTTTACCTG